CGGGCCTTAAGCCCCACCCCCAGCGCCCGAGGCCAATCCCGGGCCGCTCCTCTCCAGTCCCCTCCCACACATCTCCTCCCACCGCGGCACCGCCCAGGTTCTCAGTTCTGCAGACTCCGCTGCAAGATTCCAGAGCCTCAGCCTTCAGCAGCTCAGGGCACTCGCCAAGAGTAGCAGTGGTGGATTTGAGGACTCCAGCTGTGCATGTTGGAGTTAAAACTTTAGGCTAGAAGAAGCGCTGGGCCAGCAAAGGCAGGAAGAGAGATTTCTTGAGAAATCTCTTGAGCGTCCTTGGATGGGTTTCCTTGTCGGAAGGACTCTTGAGACCCGGGAGGCGTCCGCACTAGTGTATTCTGTGACTCTACGGGAATGAATTGGGCTTTGCAAGTGTCTTACAAACTTAGGAACACTTTTAAGAGTTTGCTCTAAACTAGGAGAGACAGAGTGATGGAAAGAGGGAGAGAGAAAGTTCGGGGAGAGGGCGGCGCAGAGAAAAACAGAAACACCGAGACAGACCGAGAAAGACCTAGAGAGACTGGGCATGCCTGTGTTTGCTGTCCTGCTAGGTGATTATCAGGTGGGCTTGAGCTAGTACAGAGATTCGTTCATTCATACAGGGACACGGGATCAGAAACAGTTATTAAAGGGCAGGTCCTAAAGTTGCTGAGGTAGACCGAGGGGAACTTGTCATTGCTCCGTTTTTGTAAGTAAGTGGAGTAATTTGTTGAATGTCTACTTGTGGTTAGGGAGGGGTCGGGACTCAAGAAAGTCAAGGTCCCAGGCACAAGATGATACCCTTTCAGGTGGATAAGTGCTAAAAAAAGGAGTGAGGTAAAAGAAAAGGTGGACAGTTCTGGGAAGAAAGGAGCCAGAATGCTTGGCTTCCAGATAGCAAACGGAGAAAGGGGGTGTGTATGTGAGGGAAGGATGCTGGGGTGGGGGAATGTGTCAGCTAAGCCAGGGGGGAGGGGAGAATGGGAAGGACTATGAGTCACGCTTCCCTAAAGATGTCCATGTTCTGGGCTAGGAAATACAGTTCTGAGGAGCTCCCTGAGTTTCCCCGTATGTTAATCCCTCTGTCTAATCCCCAGCCACACTTGCATGTATGCATATGTATGTGTGTACACGTACACACACACACCTAGATCAAGATCTCCACATTGTAACCTCTGGAACCTATGACCGCTTGTTATGTGGGAAGGGAGAATTTCAATTACCCGGGGAACTATGATAAGCAGAACTCCTGGGCTCAAGCAGTCCTCCATCCTCAATCTCCCAAAG